GCACACCTTCAGGTCCCCTGGCCCGGTGCCAAGTGGGGGGTGCAGCCTCAGGTCCCCCATCAAGCCCCACTGGGTGGGGTGGTGCAGCCTCAGGGCCCCCATCAAACCCCACTGGGTAGAGGGCGCATCCTCAGTCTCCTGTCAAGCCCCACCAGGGCAGGGGTGTGCCTTGAGGTCCCCCGTCAAGCCCCACTGGGTTGTGGTGTGGCCTGAGGTCCCCCGTCAACCCACGCGGGGTAGGGGATGCAGCCTCAGGTCCCTGCTGATCACCCGTTATGGCTCATTAAGGGAACCCTGCCTCCGCTGTGGGCGCAGCCATCTTGTGATGGCACGATGGTGTGAGGGTTAATTTGCATATTACCATTTTATTATATAGGATGGAGCCACTTTAAAATGGAGTTGGAGGAGAAACCAAGATGGCAGCATAGGTAAACACCGGAAATTGCTGCTTCGCACAACCACTTCAAAAATACAACTAAAAGAAAACGGACATCATCCAGAACCATAGGAAGGCTGGCTGAGTGGAAATTCTACAACTAGAAGGAAGGAGAAAAGCACACTGAGACTCAGAGGAGGTGTGGAAGTAAAGTGCAGAGGTACGGAGGCGCACGCGGAAAGGGCTGGCAACTGAGGACACGGTTTTCTTTTTCAATCAGGAGGGAGACACAAGCTTCCGACGGCCCTGACTCCAGTTCTGGGCGAGTCTCTGGGGACCCAGACTCATACGGGGAGAAACTGGACAGTCTGGCAGCAGGTGGAACTCGAGGGCGGCTTTCTCTCAGAGGTGCTTGCAGCAATTACCGCGGGACACTGAGACGCAAGATCTCTTAGGGCAGGACTGAGGATCAGCCATAGCTGCTTGCTCCGCCCTGTTGATTCCCTGAGACCCCGCCCCACCCAAGCTGTGCACAGAGGCTTTTGCATATGAAAGGCCAGGCCCTTTGCAATCTGAAAATTACCTAACAAACTGCAGCTGGGTCAGGGAGACCTAGAATTTCCAAAAGAAGGTCCAAGGCTCCACAGCAGCTTGCATTGCTTCACAGCTGGGCCTCATCTGGGCAGCTCCAAACCCCAAACAAAGAAGAGGAACCTGCAGATCTCTCCATAGCTCCTACTGGGTAGCCTCAGGCAGAGGCTAAATTAGCACCTCCTTAGATCC